TTAGCTTGTCGGGGAGGTCCCGAAGTAGTCGAGGAGGGATTACTCTTTATCTTCGCTTGCTGTTAGAGTAAGGGATTTGTCCTAAGACATTATTATCGTGTCTTCGTACGCCCTTTCATTTGACTAGCAGTGGAAGGGTAGATTTGATTGATTGTCAAATTCACTTTTTTCCTCTTCTTTTCAGGTGGAAATGGCTACTGATTTTGAGGATGAAATTATGGTCGAGCAGATCGAGACTTCCGAGGAGGAGCGGGCAACCTCAAAGCCTAGTGAGTATATTTCTCTAGAGCCACAAGAGATAACCTCACTTTTTTCTTCCTTCCCTGTGGAGGTGATCACAACAGTGGGAGGCAAAACGAGTTCATCAAATGCCAAGGAGGAGTGGAAGGTATTGTTCCCTGGGAGGATGAGCGGGTCTGTTCGTCATTCAAGACTGACCGATTCCCCATGTATCAATATGTTTTCATGGAGGTGGGGCTTCAGTTACCTTTCTCATTCTTCAGGTGACAATCCTTGCCCAATTGGATTTGGAGCCCTCACAACTTCATCCCAACTCGTTGGCCTTTACTTGGGAGTTCAACATTGTTTGTGACCATCTCAAGATATGGTCTATAGTCTTCCTATTCTTTGCTTACTTTCATCTTCAGCATAAGACGACCTATGAGGGTCTATTCGGATGGATTTCCTTAAAGCAGTCGAGGAAACTGTTTAAGGCATACTCAAAGTCTATCCGGACATTAAAGAATAGGTACTACGTGATGTTTCCCGTATATGAGAGGGCCATAGATTATTTGCTTAGCTGGGAAATTATGAGGGATGTCGATGGGAATCCTCTCCTTAATGAGGATGGTCGGCAGAAAAGACATCAGGTTCAAAGATTCCATTTTTCCTAGAGTCACGAGCATTTAGATCGACTAACCGAGGAGTATATTGTCAGTCTGGACCACTTGGAAGAGGACGTATGGGCAAGTTATAACAAATTGATGGCTTTTGTTGACAGCTTCGTTCCTTCCCAATGTATGACAAGCGCGGGGAAATAATCCTTGATTAGGATATGGAGCCTATGCTCGAGGCTTGGATTATCAACACGAAGGGGATCCTCGATTGTGCTACTCACGAAGATGTCCTTGCACTTTTAGGTAGTTTTTTCGCGTTGTTGATTTGTTTTTATTTGTCTTTTTTGTTTTACTGACTTGTGCTTGTTTGTTTGTTCTAGGTAAAATATCGAATGCTCAGGAGCGTATGGTAAAGATGGTAGCGTCCAACAAAATAAGGCAGCTGAAGAAGAGTCAGCTTCAGAAGAGAAGTCTAGGTGTCCCTGCGGCCTCGCTTCCGACTGGGTCAGGGAACTCCTCCTCTACTCCTATTGGCGAGCAACCGTCTCCCAAGCAAGTATCCTCAGCTAGAAAGTGTCATCGAGTGGGGGGGTGAGATTGTCGACTTGACTATGGAGAGGATTGCATACGAGTATGAATTGCCTCCTTATTGGTTGCATAGGGTTACTTCGAGGGGGTCCCTTTTTCAAAGTCCCGCGGGCAGAATCCCTACATCTAGAGGGCTTGGACTGGTCGAGTAAGAGGAAAACTCTTTCTCAAGATGCCGCTACTATGATGAGGATTCTGGAATTGGAGGTGGTTCATACCGAGGAGGGGACCCCTACTGTCAAAGAGGTGAAGGACATTCACGGGGCCAATACGGATCTCGAGGAAAGGATAACCAAGTTGAAATCTAAGAAACAAGAGATGGAAAAGCAAAAGACTGACGAGGTGGCCCAACTGCATTCTGATAAGAAGAAGCTTGAGGATAGGGTTGCTGCTTTGGAAAATGACGTGGCTCGGTCGAGGATGAGAATGAAGAGCTCAGACAATTGAAGACCTGTGCTAAGTTGGTTTCCCGCCTCCGTGTGGCCGAGGAGGACTGCATGGAGATTACATAGGATAGTTTTAACAACACGGTGGATCAGCTTAAAATTGTGAACCCTGGCATTGAGTTTAACATGGCTGGGACCGAGTTCCTTAACAGCGTGGTCGACGGGCGAATCGTTGTCCCCAAGTTCCCCAACCTTGGTGGAGAAGATGACAGAGGCGAGCAGCCTACTCGGGAAGGACGACCAACCTCGACTGATTAAGTTTTTGTTATTTGCATTTGGCTGGCCCGTGTGCCGTGTTTTATATATTATTTTTTTTTTGGATTTTTCCCGGTTAATGCAACACTCAGACAACTTCGGTCCTTGTAGTCGTTACTTTGGTTATCTTTGGATGGGGGCTTAGCCCTCCTTATGTAATACTTTGACAATTGTGGTCTTCGTGGCCATTTTCGAAATTAACCAGCTCTTTACTTATTTTTATGTATGCTCGTGCATGATTTGTACTTACTGCTTTGTTAAATTTCGCATGTTTGGATGTTCGTCTGCTTGAGACGTTTATTTTTGCTTTGTTTGGAGGGTTTTTCTCGGTATTATTGAGGTTCTCCGGTGAGGGGGAACTGGTCGAACAACCAGGATAGATTTTCGGGCATAGGGCAGAACTTAGGTCTTGTTTGAGGCCTGAGCTCTATAGCATGAACTTCCCATCGTGAGCTGGGTGTTCTACCATCGTGGTACGACGACGCTCATCCAACAGTTACTGTCGTCGATGGTGTATACATCCAAAGTCATGGAGGATTTTTCTATGCTTGGTTGAGGAAGTATTTCCTGGATTTAGGATTTATTTCCTCCATTATTCTTTGTGCTTGTTAGTTTTGACAGGATATCTGCTCACATGTTATGTTTGAGGGTAACGTGTTGTACGTCCATGGATCCAAACCTTTTCATTTTCTCCCGGACTAGAGTCCAATACTCGGAGACATTATCGTTTTTGACTTGATATTCTCCTCATATTTGAGAAGTGAGGAGCTAGGAGTCCGTAAAAAGATTTATTTCCTCGGCTAAGCGAAGGCCTGCAAGGAAAGCTTCATATTCTTCCTGGTTGTTAGAGGTAGGGAAATATAAGGTGAGAGAGACCTTAATAAATATTCCTTCCTCATTTCAAAGATAATGCCCACTCCGCTTCCCGTCGAACTAGAGGCCCCATCCACGAATATGGTCCATTTATGTGCCTTGCTGGTGTGGGAGGCTGGCGAAGTCATTTCTGCCACGAAGTAGGCTAGTACTTGGGCTTTAAGGGCCTTTCTTCTCTTGTACCTGATATCGAATTCAGACAACTCTAACGACCATCTGAGCATTCTTTCTGCCATATTTGGATGACCGAGCAGCTGTTTAACGGGATGGTCTGTACGTACGACAATCGTGTGGGCTAGAAAGTAGTGCCTTAGCCTTCTTACTATATTGATGAGGGCCAGAGCCATCTTTTCGATCTACTGATACCTGAGCTCAGGGCCTTGTAGGGCCTTGCTCGTAAAATATATGGGTTTCTACCCCTCCAGGGTTTCTCGGATGAGAGCGGCGTTGACGGCCTCTGTTGCGACAAAGAGATAAAGTTAGAGAATTTCACCGTTACTTGGACGTGATAGTGCCGATGGTTGTGAGAGTGCTTGTTTGAGGTAGATGGTGGCTTGTTCACACTCCTCGTCCACTCAAATGCCGCCTCTTTGCGAAGAAGTTTGAAAAGGGGGAGTGTGTGTTAGGCAGACTTTGCTAAGAAGCGGGACAGTGAAGTGAACATTCTGTTCATGGTTTGAATTGATTTCTTCGAGGGAAAGATATTTGGGACAAATAGATTTCCACAGATGACGCCACTAAGCTTACCGGTGACTAGAATCTGTAATGGGCCGATAGATGATGTCTGCAAGGCTGAAACCAAGAAGGAGGGGGTGTACCTGCAAGGCACTCTGACACTCAAGTAAGTAGAGTGCAAAGAGATACACGAAAGAGATTAGGGTTTTTAGATTAGAATGTTGGATATTGTATACCTGACCCTCACAAGTGTGATGGTTTATATAGTACCCCCGACGCTTGGCCATTGGTTCCTATTTTTGGGACTGAATATCAGGTTCCTAAAAAATAGATAACTGTCAGAAACTAACCGTTATGACGGGAAAAGATGCTCGGAAATAGTCGTTATAACGAGCAGAGAAGTATTCACGGGCAGGTGTGACTCTGGTCGTTCCTGGGTGGCTGTCCTCGCGTGACTATCAAGGTGAGGACTAACCTGTTTGAGCGGGCAGAGGTGGTCGCGTTGATCCTGGGGGTCAATCGACCACGACTCCTCGAGTGAAGAGCATAAGAGAAAAGTGTCCCTTACCCATTCTGTTTGATTGGGTCAAGGTCATTGGGTCATCCTAAACGTAGAAGTGGATTGTGCACTACCTAGTCATGGACCAGTCTAGAACAAAATCCATATACATATAATTTTACCTCTTGATTATTATTTCACCGAGGTGATAGGACCAGTCTAGAATAATAATGATGCATATGACTTAGGAGGAACAAAAGTGTTGTTTAAGGGGACAACAAAGGAGAAGAAGATGTTTTCAAACATATTAATATTTTAGTCAGGATGTGTAGCAAGACTTAGAATTAAATGCTATTTTTTTTTAATTGATGTTCTCTCTATTATTTATCTTCAAAGTGACTTAATTGAATTGTAACGGGTTTGAGTTCTTCTTTATTCCTATAATAAAATCTCAACTTTCATCCAAGTAATCAACATTACAAAAAGAATTACATTAAAATTGAATGATATTCAAATATTTATTGAATGTAAGAGTTTTCTAATACTAGGTAAGAAATAATTGAGGAAATTTCCTCAATATTATTAATTTCATTTATATAAGAAGACTAGTTTGTTTGTATATATAAATCTTGGTCCATTGACTCATCACTTGTTAAAAAATATAGAGAGAGAAACATAGCATGGAGGTCATCATCATCATCACAACCCTCTATTATTTCATCTTCCATTTCTGAGCAAGTATTTCTCATCTTTCTTCCCAACTCTATTCTCCATGTTCCCATCATAATACAAACTAAAACGTCTCATGTTTCTTTAGTTAACTTTTTCATGGCTAGACAACTCTGTGAAGATGAAAAAACATCAAGTGGTGGATTTTGTTATAACCCACAAATCCAAGGTTTTGTGTCGGATCCAGAGATGTTCAATCTCACAACAGGCATGGAGATGATAGGGTTTTCAAAACATCTTCATCATCATCAACAACAACAACATAGTACAGACACAAACATGTGGAAAACAAATTTCTCAGAAAAACTAAGTCAACAACATGTTGGTCTTTCACCTTCCTATCATCATCCTGAACAACATCATCAACATCATCATCAACATCATCATCATCATCATCATCAAGATTTCACTGTTTCTGAAACAACAAGTAACGATCATCAAAACCTAAACATGCTTCATCATCAACAACATCATCAACCTCATCAAGATTCATCTTCTTCTTCACAGTGGCAACAACAAGTTGACGATTCATCACTAAGATGTGTTTTCCCTTGTGAAGGTAACGAAAGACCAAGTCAAGGACTTTCACTCTCTCTTAGTTCAACAAACCCTTCATCTCTAGTTTTACAATCTTTTGAATTAAGAAACACTCACCAAATCCAAGATCAAGGCTATCAAGGCCATTTCCTTCTCAAAAACTCAAAGTTCTTACTACCAGCTCAACAACTTCTCAACGAGCTTTGTAGCTTAGAAACCACAAAACAAAATGATCTCGTTTCACAAAAACAAAAATCTCAAAAATTCAACAACAAACAAAATTTTGAAGAACAAGATGTTCACAATGGTGCCACCACTTCCTCCATCAAACATTCCTTAACCTCCGTCGAGTTCGTCGAACTCCAGAAGAGAAAAACTAAGCTACTTTCCATGCTCGAAGAGGTATACTGATTACTACGATTATTACTGGTTATTATCACTTCGTCTGTCGACATAATAAAAAAAACAATAGTATTATTTTTTTAAATTATTTTATGTTATTATTTTTGTGAATAATAAGGTGGATAGAAGGTACAAGAACTATTGTAACCAAATGAAGAGTGTGGTATCATCATTTGAAGGAGTAGCTGGAAATGGAGCTGCAAAAGTTTACTCAGCATTAGCATTAAAAGCCATGTCAAGACATTTTAGGTGTTTAAAAGATGGAATAATGGAACAAATTGAAAGAACAAGAAAAGCAATGGGAGAAAAAGACCCTATTGCACCTGGAACAACAAAGGGTGAAACACCTAGGCTCAAAATTCTCGACAGAGTTCTAAGACAACAAAGAGCATTCCAACAAATTAACATCATGGAAACACATCCTTGGCGACCTCAGCGCGGTCTCCCCGAACGATCTGTCTCGGTTCTTCGAGCCTGGCTCTTCGAACACTTTCTTCACCCGTAATTATAATAGATAAATCATTCTTATTTTTACTGCTTTCTCTTATCAAATTGCTTCAAAATAGATATTTCTAGTGAATCAATGTTTTCGCCATTTCCAAAAATAACAACAAGTATTGGCAGTTGTGAATGTGGTATCGTGAATTTTCTCATATTAAGAATCTTTTCATTTTTTTTTTTGTTACTTTCTGTGCATCACCATTCAGATTCCATCTTTTCATATGTTGTTGTTGTGTATTGTTTTGTCAATCATTTCTACATCATCTTTTATTTTTGCGTCTCTTTCTCAACTACTTCTTTTTATTTTTATGTGGACTTAATTAATCCTTCTTTGTAGGGACTATTCTTTCTTCCCCACTATATACTTATCTCTAATATATATTATTACTATTATTTTCTAATTAATATATATTATATATACGTGCCACACAAGTTTATATAATTTTATTTATTTTTATATATATATATATATTCTTTTTTATTAATTTTTTTCAAATTTCTGTAGGTATCCAAGTGACGTTGATAAACATATTTTGGCCCGCCAAACCGGTCTCTCAAGAAGCCAGGCATGTTCATTTTTCTATTATATTATAAATATAATAATAATAATATTATTAAATTAATATATTAGTCTTCTTAGATCCGTCATGCAAAATTTTCATATTAATATTTTCAAAGATTGAGTATTAATATATGTTAATAGGATGACACAAGTTTTGAAAGTTATTTTTTTTTTGAGATGTTAATTAATTGGTTAATTAATTGAAAAGCAGGTATCAAATTGGTTTATTAATGCAAGAGTGAGACTATGGAAGCCAATGGTGGAAGAAATGTATTTAGAAGAAGAGAAAGAGCAACAAAGAAACACGACAACCTCGGAGGGAGGAAACAACATTAATCATGAAGAGGAGAATCTTAATGTGGTTCAAGATCAATCTCCAAGACAACAACTTCATGAAGATCAAAAGCCGCGACTAGTTAGAATTGATTCTGAATGTGTCTCATCTATCATCAACAACGATCATAAAAGCGAGGCGGACAAGAATTATCTTCATCAACATCAATTAGCCGCGGACGCGTTTGGATCGGTTGATATTGATTTTTCTTCTTACGATACACATCATTCATCTGATCATATGGTTACTGGTTATGCTAGTGGGGAGAGTTTCCATCACGGTGGTGGTAACGGCGGTGGAGTTTCGTTGACGTTAGGGTTACAACAACATGGTGGGAATGGAGTGAGTTTGGCTTTTCCTTCAACTACAGAAAGTTCAATGTTTTATACAAGGGAACAAATTGAAGAGCCTGTTCAGTATTCTCTTTTGGATGGTGAAGGAACAAATATCATGCCGTATAGGAATCTAATGGGGACACAATTGCTACATGACTTAGCATGATCATGATCATACAATATCAAAGGTTATTGAATTAATGTTATATTATATGAATGCTACATTAGGTCATGGTAGAAAAATTATATAGTTATATTAATTGAATTATATATGGTAGTACTTATTAATTTTCTAAAATTTAACATTTAGTTTGTAGAACTGTTGATTGACCACTGGGCTAACAGGTAGCACAAGTGGAAATGAAAATTAAGTTTTAGAAGAATATTAAATATATTTTGTAGTTTATTGGTGAAATGAAAAAGAATATTTGAAGGACATAAAATGAATTGGATGCTAAAAACAAAGAATGAGAGAAAATATGAAAGATATATATAATATGGTGATTAATAATTGTGGTCCCTTATTCATTTCATAAAGACAAGTTCTTGTGCCAATGAGAATTGATTGCTTTATATGATATGTCATTTTTATAATTGGTTCGACGGTGCCTTTCTTTTATTTTCATCGAAAAAATTAAAATTGGCTTTTCATTTAGTGTTGGAGGCACTACTAGGGTTTTGAGGATGAGATGAATGGTTTTTAATGAATGCAATGCAACTTGTGTGTGTGTTTTGATGGATATATATTTGTCCCTTTTTGTTCTTATTTAGTATATAGTACATTTCAAAATTTTATTTATTCAACTATGTGTATTGTGTTTCATACTTTGCTATTAGGTATACTTCGTTTCTATTTTTGATAAGAGATAAATTTAATGAAGTAATGTTTTTCTTCTTGCCTTAAAATAGATGACATTATACAAACAACTAGTTTAATTGCTTTCTCTTTTCTTGCCATTGAGTTTTGGTCGGTTGTTTCTTTTTGTTTTTGATGTTTATTTCTGGTTGGAGTTTGATTTTTTTAATGTTTTTTTGGTAGTCTTTTTTTTATATTTCTTGTGTTTTGAAATTCTTTACATTTTGATAATTTTCATATTTCTTATTAATACATTATTTTGACATAAAAAGAATTTAGTTTAAAGACATTTATCATCCTTTTACTACTATAAATATTATTTTTTATAATAAAATTTTCACTTCAAATAATAAAAAATCGAAGACATAAATATTAAAAGCATCATGTTTTATTTAAAAAACATCAATTTTTTTCTTCAATATTTCACCAAAACTGACATAAATAATTACTTAGGGTTTAAGTTTCAATATCCATTACAACAAAAATGAGCTTAAACAATACCGTGGCCAGATATTAAAAAACCGTAGTGTAAGACTTCAAGCAACAGATTTTCAAATATGCAGCCGTTGCCTATTCTATGATGGGGGACGACTGTTTTACAGACCACGTTTAAAAACCGTTTCCTATACCTATTGACTAATTTTTTTTTTGATAAGCAAAATTATTTAGTCTACCACTCAGCCACATTAAATTCTTTTTCCTATTGACTAATTTTGTTAATGCAATTAACCATTTTAAATTTTATTTTAATGGAATTATTAAATTTTTATAAATCTATTGCATATTCCAAGGTTCATTGTATATATTTAATAATTTCTTTTACTTTTCAAATTACTTTTTAATTTAGTTTTGAATATTAATTATAATTGTTGATAATTTATAATATTTTATTGGTTCACATTGATTCAACTTCAACTTCGACCACTTTAATCTTCTTGGATAATTTGATATTTCTGCCATTACAAGAATGGAAGGAGGCGCTAAACACCTTTGCAGCAACAAGTAATTAAGCATGAATATGAAATTTGTAGTTTGCATAAAGTCATGAAATTTGTAGTTTGCATAAAGTTCGTTCATATTTTTTTTCGCAATAACATGACTTATGTTTGAATAACTTTAGAATTAACCTTAAAAAATGAAGTAGCGTTCCATTATTTATCATATGGTTAGGAGATTGATAATTTCTTATTTTAACTCGTTCGATTCATGTTTAATATTGCATTTATTTTGATATTTATGAAAGCATAGAAAGAATCAAGGCACTTATTTGAATTTGAGCACAACCATCAAACCAAATGCAACCTTATTTTCCCTTGTGGTTGAGTGAGAATTTGAAAACCCCTTTGAACCAAATGACATGTATCTATCATTTAAGAACTTAACAATTAACCAAGTAAACCATTTAGTGAAATTGTTCTCTTTCATTCAAAATCATAAAATTCATTCATGATATATTCTAAAAAATTTCTTGAATTAAACTTTGAAATCAGATTGATATCCTTTACTGCAATCAAAGCAAGAGTAAGGTTTTGTTTAAGTTGAGGAGAAAAAAGGAAAAGTCATTTTCCAAAAACAGAAAAATGAAAGAATTGAAATGATGAGAGAAAAAGAAAGATGATTAATGAAAAAGGAAAAAGGTGAATGGAGAAAGAGAAAGAATATAAAAAAGAATGTGTTCAATGAGGGTACAAGAAGGTTTTTGGATGAGTAATGTGCTAAAAAAATATCAAAATTTGTGAATGCTCCTCTAATGAAAGAAAAATCAAAAACTATTTTTGTTTCCATTATCCATAGAAATGACCCTTCCTTGGTACCCATGCCACATTACAACCAAGTAAAGACCTTAGTGATATATATTTTTGCATATCAAAATGATGTGTTTTAGATGAACGCATGATTTGATCTAGATGTTAGCAAGATTATCAGATGAGAGTTAAAATTCCACATAATTCTCACTTATACAAAAGTGTATTAGGTGTGATTCATGATTGATATGTTTATTATTTTGGATTGTTTGACATGAATTTTGTGTTGAAAACTTGTTTCATAATTATGTTTTGGTCCTAGCAAAGTGATGAGCATAACAACTTGGATGTGCAATTGCAATTAAACCTTCACCTTGATTATTTCTCTTAAAATTTGGTTGATCATGTAAAATATGGTATAAAAAACTCTTGCTTTCAATTAAACTTGTAAAGGCTTTGATTTAAGGACAAACAAATTTCTAAGTTGGAAAGAGTTTGATAAGTGTCAAAGATATGATAATTCAATACATTGCAAAAGACATTTATCTTACTTGGTTTATAAGTTTATAACATGGAAACTTCGATTGTTAAATAGAATTGAGTTGGCGGATGTTTTTTTTTTTTTTTTGCATCTGTGCAGATTGTGAAACTTAAACAAAGGATTGAAAGCAAAGCCAAAGTTTGCTAAGCGAGCTCCAGCAAAATCTAAGCAAAATCTAACAAAATGTCTTCACAATTCAAAATATGGCTACTTCACTAAGCAAACTCCCATCAAAGACTGGAAGAATGTTTTGAAAGTCCAAAATTCATCACTTTCACTAAGCGAGGGATGGCGAGCTTCAAGCGAAACAAGGCAAAATCCAAAATTAAGCTAGTTCTCTAAGTGAGAGATAACGAACTTCAAGCGAGAGTTGGCAGAAACTTTCAATATTCAAAAGTCAACACTATTGCTAAGCGAGCCTTATCAAAGTTCAAGCGAAGAGAAACAGTAAGTTTCAGCAATAAAAAATCACCAGTTTTGCTTAGCGAGGAGTAAACGAGAAAGCTCGCTTAGCGAGCCATATTTCGCTACGCGAAATTAAGAGGTTGTGAAAGGGAGGTTTAAAAATGCTTAAGGTTGAAGAAAACTCAGTTTGCTAAGCGAACATTGTAGGTTTTAAAATTATATAAATAAACATTAGACATAACCAAATAAGGAGACTTGAAGAGAGAAAATTAGAGAGAGAAACACGCCACACATCAGGAAATGTGATTCTTGAAGATCAGAAGTTAGATATGCATTAATTGTCATAAAATCAACATTGATGTTATTTCATCTCTTTTCTTCTCACTTGTACCAAACTACCATGAGTAGCTAAATCCATTTCTTGTTGGGATTAGGCATAGTTCATCGTAACAGCATGTATATTTATTTATCATGGCGTTATATATAATCTACTTATTAATTTATATCGATGTTATCTTTGTTTCGATATTTAACTTCATGGATTTGAATTGATATTGAAAAATACGATTTGAATCTTATTCTAAGATAATCATATGTTAAACGCTAAATACTAGACATAGATTTAGGTTTTACATTCCTTGCAAGTATCAATTCTTAATGTAGTCGTATTGTTTAATAGGCTAAGAATTTGTCGACTAAATAATAAGGTAGAAACCTCATCAGATGTTTAGACATAAAATCTATTTGTGAGTGATACATAGTGATATTAATAAATGTTTAGATTGTGTATAACTGATCGGTAAATTTCATATTTAACCGGGGGATGAAATCCAATCCCAGTAAGTCTCATCTCTCTGAAAACTTCCTTTATAAATTATTTGCTTTATCTTTTGTAACCAATCAACTATACTGTAAACTACCGCTTAAAATCATAGTAATTGTTGAACAACATTAATATTGCACTAGTCCCTGTGGATACGATAAGACAAATACTTATTTTTGATACTGAATATCATGCTTAACTCTGATGATTGGAAGATGGTTGTTGTTTTTGATTGTATGCTCCCATATTCCAGTAATTCTACTAGTTATCACTTGTTCTGATCTAAATGAGTGATATATCTTGAAGAGTTGTTTTGGCACAATTTTCCAAATAAGGAGATTGTAGTTCCTTTTGGATTGACCATTTGGATTGATTGTATTTTGCAAAACAACAACATGGAAAAGTGTTTAAAATGTTCAAGATTAATCTAGCTTACTTAAGCTATATGGAGGTGCAAAACGGACACATGTTGAACATGATGTTCTAGCATGTGGATACGATATTTGGGACTTGCGTAATAGGTCAATGTTGCTGATTTTTTAAAGGATTTTCTATTGAAGATTCATTTAGATTTTTTTACTTTTATTTATCAATATGATTATATGATTTGTTAGACAATTGTGAAGGTCAAATCAGATTTAAATGGATATTTAAATTTGAATTTGAAACAAACTAAATCATATCTTTTGGTTAGAGAGATTTATGGAATAAATCCTACCCAAGTGATTGTGCAATTATTCTGGATGAAGTCAAATCAAATATCCAAAGAGAAAATGACAAAATATTTTTATTATAT